ACKRKTACTWSTACTAGAAAAGAGTGACAAGAACCAAAAAATACCAAAATTTACCTTGYTACRGAGTACAGAGMGTACGTACTCTWACTCCGCACGTCACTGGTCAACATACGAAACGTATGGGTAGTACGTACAGACTTCCACGTCACATTTGAAATTGAAATTCGAATGTTTTTTGAGTCGAATCAATCAAGAATCAATCAAGAAACAAATGAAACACGTACGTGTGGTGGGAAACGTGTTAGAGCTCCCATCAAGCGAACTCGTGACAGTTGATGACAGCATTTGGTCGAAATTGTGTTTCATCGGCGTAGCAGACCGCAAACAGAAATCAAACTGAGATTCACATCATTCTCCTCCTCTTCTTCTCCTAGTCATTCTATCCAGTCGACAGACCACAGAATTCCAAAACGTCGAAAATGGGAAAGCCTCAATTCAACCCTGTCAGAGATTTTATCAGTGGAGCCATTATGGCTGCCACTTCCGTACCCCAGCTAATTGCGTACGCCGAAACCGTGGGATACGCGAGCTACCGTGGATTGGCCACGGCCGGGCCACCCCTCATGGCATGGGGTTTCGTAACGGGAGGACCCTTCATGAACGCCGGTGTCACTTCCATCACCGCACTCATGGCCAAGTCCGACCTGAACGGTGAAGCTTACATGGCGGAACACGGAGAGGAAGCCTAYGTAGAACTCGTTGCCGCCTACTCGCTGTATGTTGGAATCGCCTCTGTTTTCTTGGCCGTCGTTGGATTCGGAAAACTCGCAGCTTACGTACCAAAGTGCGTCGCCACAGGTGAGTAGACAAGATAGCGTATGCCCACWGTTGAAGTCAGAAACGGGAATTTCATCGACGAGYACATACTTTTTTCGATASGAACACCAGACCAAGGTGACCAATGATGCATCGATCCCATGGACGGCTAGCAGYGCAATATATCGTCCTTGTTGATMCAATCCAACTCACTCTGAAYGTTTCATTTGCTACACTGTGACCAAATCTGATGGCRATTCCAGGATTCAAATGGGGATGTGCCCTCGGTGTATTGGTGTCGGCTCTTCCCAACGGATTGTTCGACAGGGGATCGAAGCAGGTCAAGTCCTTGGTGGCCGACGACGCCATCTTTGGCGGATTCGTCTCCGCCATCAARGCTTCGGCTCCCCAGGCTACTGGTGCCGTCAACGTAACGGGTTTCGTTTACAGTCTTACGCATCCCACGCAGTGGGCCATCGTYCCCACCATCATGTTCGTGATCGGTACGTGGTTCGTCATGAACGGAAAGAAGATCCTGCCAAAGGCCCTCCCCCCGGGTTCGGAGGTCATCATCGCCACCGCCGCCGCCACTATGTACAGCATGAACTTTGACTACTCCGGTGGTGTTGTCGGAGAAATCCCCGCCCTGGACCCCGATGCCGGAATTGCCGTTCCCGGAACCGACTTGAAAATCCCCGTCGGAGTCTTGGACTACTCCAAGGTTTTGGAGGCACCCGTTGCGGAGCGCATGGGAGGATGGCCCGCACTCGCCATTACGTCTCTTTTGTTTGCTGGTGTGAACTTTTTGTCCATCATGGGAATCGCCTCCGGATTCGAGTCGGAAAACGGCATCCCATGGAGTGCCCCCCGCGAGTTGATCGCCCAGGGYGTCGCCTGCGGAGTTGCCTCCGTCGTTGGATCGGCCCCCATTTCGGGAAGCATGAGCCGATCGCTGGTCTCCCGAATGACGGGAACTACCTCCCAGCTCGCCTGCATCCTCACCGCCATCATCTGGATCGTTGCCATGCCGTACATGAACATCATGAGCGCGACGCCCAAGGCCGCTCTCAGTGCCGTTATTGTGAGCGCCGTCGTCAAGAGTGTTGTCATGCCCAAGTCCCTGATGGCACTGAAGGGAATCGACTTTGCTGTTGGATGGGGAACCGCCGTCTTGACCGCCATGACGTCTCCTACTCTTGGGTTCGGTTCGGGTTTGATCTTGTACCTTGTCACCAAGCCTCTGCAACCCAAGGCCGAAAAGAGTCTCAAGAAGGATTAAGAAATTTGCTGCTGGTGTTTCGTTACTATATTTACGATGTAAAAACAATAACCATAAGCTATTAGTTTCCCTTCCTTTTCTACTTTTTGGTATTAGATGCTAGATTGTTCGCTATTTCTTGTTACTTTCACTATTGCTAGAAGCCATCACAATATGCAGGTCTTCAGCGCTTTCTCTTCTCGGAGGGACGATGTTACCAATAAAGAAAAGAATGCAATTGGCAGTGWGAAATATGCAGTAAGAGTATTACCTATCCAACAGTATTTATTTGACCACTTAATTAGGCACCAATTCAATCAGCCCCATCGAGGCATTCCTARTGTACGAGTACAAACCCTATCGTATGGTGGATGTGCTACCGGTATGTTTGGGACCGTTTCAACAGATTCAACAGATTTCGCCTTGCACGATGCTGCGCGACAAAGGCGCGCCGMGGATAGACGAATGAACTAGTCAAGCGCGCCAAAAAATAGTTGCGAAAACAATGCCATCGAATAGCGAGCAAAGGGCAAAACGCGTTAAAAAATTAATGGGGTTCCGCACGTACATACGGGTACAAAGTAAGGTAGTACAAGGTAGTATCGCAGTYGATGATTGCAAGCGTCCTGTCTTCTCATCCGCACCGACTACACAAAAACACTGGCCGGACGCGTTTCTTTCTCAACACGAGGAGGATCCACCGACATTGCAACACCAAAGAAAAGCAAGATCGGAMGACAGGTATCGGTGACTAGAATCCCAAACAATTCCAGAACTGCTACGCCAGAGACACCCAGACCCATTTTTCCAGCATGTTCATAAAGAAAGACTTGCGGAAGATCCCCACCATCCTAAGCGACGCCGTCGATTGCAGGACGTACGACGAAGGGAACGACGAAAACAGCAACAACGGGACAAAAATCAAGCGCACCAAGCGCGAGGAGCCCCTCCGGATCCTCAAGCTCGGCCGCCGCAAGCAAGAATTCAACGGATGCGTAAGGGTCCTCTGCCAGCCGGAACACTTCCCGAAGCTTGGGCACCTGTCGGTGGTGAACCTCTACGAGTGCGACATCCACGATYTGACCGGATTTGGGCCCGTCTTTGGCGCCTCGGCGCCCAACCTGGAGACGCTCAACCTGGGGCGGAACCCCCTGAGCAAGGGGATCCCCGACGACTTTTCGGAGGTCAAATCCCTCAAGCACCTGTGGCTCGACGACTGCAAGCTCRCCGGAGCCCTGCCGAGGGCGTTGCTGAAGCTCCCGAACCTCGAAAGCCTGCGGCTTCCCAACAACAGAATCACCCACCTAGACATTGGTGAGGCGGACAYGACCAACGGCAGCGGCAGCAACATCGGCAACAGCGGGAAGAACAGGGACGACGGGGAAGAATTCGAATACGAGTGGGACGACACGGCCATGAAGGATGCTTCGACAACGACGAACGAGGTGACACCGCTCAAGAACCTGAAAATTCTCTGCCTGGATCGGAACCTGCTGGGAACCACAGACGCCGATGGCAGCAGGGACGGGGCCGGCGAAGGGGGCGACACGGGAAACGCCAATCCAAACACCAGCAAGGACGCAGGAGACGATCCCCGCGAGGCGGAGCAGAGTGGGACCTCTCCGGCGCGGGCCRTCCTGCCCCCGAATCTGGCCGAGTGGTTCCCTGCCCTCGAGGAGCTCCTCCTRCGGCACAACCACGTCCGGAGGCTCGGTGTCCGAGACTGGCCGGAGCACCTCCGGATCCTCCACCTCTCCTCGAACCGCCTGGAGTCCCTTTCCGAGCTGTCGAGCGGGGGCCTGCGCTCGCTGGCGCACCTCTCCGCGAACGGAAACCTGCTAGGGGCCCTGCCGGAGGGGATCCTGTCCGACCACCCGGGCCTCCGGCGGCTGGTTGTGAGCCACAACCCGCCCCTCCGKGACCTGCCGGTGGAGGTCTGGGAGCGTATGGGVCTCCTGCCCCGCGCGGCAGCGGGRGCGGTCGACGAAGCCCCTTTGCCGCCGTGCGACATTGTGTGGCAGCCCAATCCGAACCTCTCCGCTCCGGCGGCCGGCGGCGGCCGGGRAGACGGCGCGATGGAAGAGTGAGGACGCGGCCGGGCGTCCTCTGGTGGACGGGCGGGCGGGTGGGGTTCCTTGMTATGGCCTTCCTAYTCGCAGKGGGTGGCACCAGCTACTGTACAAGTCATGGAAAGTCTACGTTCACCTGTTCAACCAAGCATAGTACTACTAGAATCCTTTTTCCTTTGAAACATCTCGGCTATAATATTTAACAAGTAGGCATACAGAAGGCGCGATGATAAGATGCTGTAATCTCTACTACTACTACTAGTCGATGCATTCAGAACTGATGTCCAAAGATACACCAACAAGAGGTAACCAACGAGGACCCMATTGATCACTTGTGAACTAGAAGAGAATATAAATTTACAAGAATGGCAACGTTTGCCATGAATGCTGTGGTCTGTACTCGTATTATTGCTCGTTCTTCTTCTTGTTGTTGACTTCTTCTTCTGCACCCAGATTGKTTGTTTGTGACTWATACTACACAGCTAGAATCATCAGAAACATAGATCGCACGTATGACAAGCGGAATCATCACAATCAAAGCCTTGTTCCTCCCTCATTAGCATACTAGCATTGCAATTATTATTTTTGATTTTTTAAATTCATAAAATTCCAACGTGGTCTCATTTTTTCCATATCATATGTAACATAGGTACTTGGATTATGAATTGGTCCTACTATCGTTTAGTTTTGAATACTGTACCGTATGCGTCACAGAGCTCAAGATTTTTCAAAACGACACCCCGATCAAAAGAATGTATTGCCTCCATTGATTGTTGATGATCATTTTGGATCGACGACACAAGATCCATTTGGACGTTGCACCAAATTACCACACATGCGCAGAGGCCGAAGTTCATCGATAGACAGACTAAACATTTCACCGTTTTGCATCGGTCAAAGCAACGCAAAGGAAAATCGATTCAACATGTGTTCAGCAGCATGTTCCATCCATTGGTTGTTGGTTAGCAGCGCTTTGGTGTCTGTTTTTTCATTTTCGTGGTTGGCACCACGAACAATCTGCCAAGAKGGTTTTTCCCACCACTCTATCACCAGCAATTGGAGGATACGGCGGAACAAAATTTGTATCTCTGGTCGYAGGGGACAGATGCGGGAGCACCCTCTTTTTGGTGCTAGTGTCGATGACGACGACCTTTTCTCCTACGATCATGACGTGAATTTGCCAAAACTTATCTCATTGTTCGGGGGGTCGCCAAGCGATCTGCTTCGGCTTGATTCTAACAATGGAATCCGCGGTGTCTATGCAAACAAATCATTAAAAGAAGGAGAGATCCTTTTGAAAATGCCTCTTTCGTCATGCCTCCGTGACGATCAGCCACCTTTGTGGTTGCTGGAACACCAGCAGCAGGATCAGTCGGAAGAGGAAAGCTCGGAATCGGCGTTGTTGATCCAGGATTGGGTAACGAGATTGGCCGCATGCGTTCTAGAGAAACAGCACGAGCAAAAAATAAAAAAGGAGGCGGATTGTCTCGATCGGGCCACGCAAGCGTGGCTGAAACTTTTGCCGTCCCGATCGTTGCTTCGACAGTTTCTCCCCATACACTGGCCCGAATCAATTCTCAGCGAAACCAATTACATGCCACTCGAGCTGGCAGTAGATTCTGCGTACTTTGCACGAGCGGCTCCAATGGGTGATTTGATGGGAGCAATCCCATCATCATATTGCAACAACGGTGGCGAAATCCAGGACACCATAGAATGGGCACTTRATTTGGTACAGACCCGTTCTTGCCGGTGTGCTTTACGCTTCTCTGGAGAGAGCACTGGTGGCGACGTGAAAGATCTACGGGTGCTGGTTCCAGTGTTTGACATGATTAACCACTCCCCCGAGCCCAACGCCGAATTCTTCCGGAAAGACGATTACATGATGGTTCAGGCACTCAGAGACATAGCGGCGGACGATCAAGTTTGCATTTCTTATGGTGGCTCTACCGTGCCGGCATGGAGGCGCCTGTTTTCGTATGGATTTTGCGACACATCYGGTGGCGACGGCGACGGATTTGCGGTTTACGAAGACGACACGGTAGAGATCGTCCTCGAAGACCGTTTTCGATTCGAGGTATCGCCTACCGAAATACCAGGGGAGCTCATTCAATACCAAGCACAACAAGCGGCGGGTATTGATAGCGATGAACCATTGGATATCGAACTGACTCCCGAAATTGGTCTCGCCATTGTTGATCACCTTACTAACGCCGCTGCCAATTCGAAGAGGAAAAGGGACGAAGCTATMAATGCAGCAACAAACAGCTCAGAAGAATCTTTATCTGTACCACTCAGACTTGTCGGTGATCTTCACGAGTCCCATAGAAGGACTTTATTAACCTGTGCGGGGGGTCTTCGAGAATACTTGGGAGGACAGTAACGATGTCATATTTATAAAATAAGGATTGTAATGAGAAGTACTAAACTCTAAGCGACCATGCCTCGGGATACTAAATCGAAGTACCACGAAGTACAATGTCTGGATTTTAAACTCTTATCTAGTTGTGTTTCTTTTGAAATAGTTGAGAAATTCGCTTCCTACATCGCTCAAGGATAGATTCTTGGACGATCGGTGGATAAGCTTCAAATGCAGCTGGTTCGAGTTCTTTTTTCAATTCCAACAACGGAACGATACTTTCTTTCTTAGCATGACCCCAGACTGAGTTCTGACCGTATTTTTCCCATGGATCAACGCCTGCTTTCAGGAGAATCATTGCACAATGAAGCCGACCGAAGGGAACCGCGATGTCGACTGGTGTGACGACACCAAACAGGACCTCGTGTGGATCAGCGCCTTTCTGGATGAGGTCTTCCAATCTCTGCACATCATTCAAACAAATGCACCAGATGACAGGATATTCTTTCTCATATTCAGGGTGTGTAGTGCACCAACTTTTGACAGCATCGACACTTTTCGTAGGACTAGCACTGATCCCCTCTGACAAACCATCCGGGAACTCCGAAAAGAATCTCTTTTCGTGCTTCGAAAGAATTCTAGCTACCTCGGGTTGCTTCGGATCCCATTTCGAGGGGCGTTCTTCTTGTTTCCATACGGATCGAACCCAACAACCCAAATATAAAGCTGCGGTGGTGACCAGACCGATACGAGCRTTGTGCCCACAAATAGCCGTGCAGTAAACGAAAACTGTTCCAGGAATTTCAATGTAACGCATCCAATCGACTGTGCCCATATTCAACGCATGCCTTCCAATAAGCAACGATGTGAGGGATGCCGTTTGATAGTTCCAACCGATACCTGGTTGACCCTCATCATTGAAATAGGAATAAACGAGAGCAATAGTTCTCATGGCGTATGCGTATCTCATCATCGACAAGATTTTGGATTTATCTTGTTCTTTGCCTTTTTTGATTCCGAAAACAGGAAATATGTACGTTTGAAGAAATGAGAAGGAATGAGGAAACCAAATCCATGCGAACACCTTCGTATTTCGTGAGGCAATCATGGGGTTGCTCTCGTAGATATGATATGGCAGCGCGATAATTGCACCCAAATGATGCATGTTAGCGAGCAAAGCGTCTTTGATACCGGTAGTATGGATCGCTCCACCATCATACAGGAGAATAGCCAATGGAATAAAAAAAATGTTGAAAATGATTTCCACAAAAGGATTCCTCGACAAGGAAGAGTCTGAACTGTAYGCCACACCCTCGGAGAGATGGAATGCGAGGTACAAAGCAGGTGCATGGAAATGATAAATAGTTTTCAGGTTATTCCGAAGCCAATTATCATACTTTTTTGTCTYCTCGTTATTGAATATAAAACCTCCTATTCGGAGACATAAAAGCACAAGTACGACCAATGCAATRCATCGGGTGACGTCGGCAATCGTTTGAATTTCTGTCATGTTTTTTTWAAATGGTAATTTAACGTTGATTTTTTTTTCTGTTCTGTAATATTATGAGATCGTTTCGTTCGTTRCAAAAGTTGTCGATCTGAATTGGATTGTTCGTGTTTGGGTATCTTCCGAATTGTACAGWACGGTGCATGTTTCAGAAGATGGCATTCTTGCCACGTTTTCGAGAGTTCTTTCAYGGCGGGAGCATYATGTATTATTRTTTCTGTATTTCTATGTACTGTATCCTCARAAGCCCAAAAATTTCGAACAACCATATTCTAAGCGGGAATGAAATCAAACGTGCAATGCATCCCTAAGTAGGATTGAATTTGAAGATCTGTTCGTTARTGTTCTAGATAGATGACCCCTGCTAGATAGGACGTAGTTCGTAGTCGTATTTTGTTTGAACTTCCGTGATAAGAACTGCGAAAAAAAGAGCGTCATTTCCTATCTTGCGTAAAGTCCAAGATTGAACTACTCCGAGTGCGTTGCACTCAATGAGTCGAATGGGTCTAGTATTATGAAACAAGGCCGCTTGTAAGAGTGAGATACGAGTACCTGGTACGAGTCTACGTACCGAACGCATTTGTTTTATTTTATCGGTACAGTAAGTACGTACGAGTACTTACGGTACGTACAGTATGAAATTTGTGGACGATGCGTTCCAGCTCTTCTGAAGTACTACGAGTACAAGTACGTACCATACTTCTATGTACCTGGTACAAAGTACCCAAGTACCGTGCAATCATTCGATGTACGAGTGCTGTACGAAAAAGGGTGAACAACATATTCAACCCTTGAATGAGCCAAACAGTCTGAAGGGACAAAAACAAAACCTATTTGGATATTGATGTAGCATACATAAGAGTTCTAACTTTATGAGCCGCTGACCGAAGAAGTTTCAGCAGCCTATCATCTATCGCAGTTTCGGAAATACCCTTGGCACCGAAAGAAATAAATTTCAACAGATTTTCTCTCAAGCATGCTTGTCAKTCATGTCGACTCGGTTGATCGGATCTTAAGGACACTGACTGCCCTAATCATAGCCCAGTTGTTGGTGGGAGTGGAATGCCTTCTTCTTTCGTCGTCAGTATTCCTTCGTCGGGATGTTCCTGCYCRTGTCCAGGAGAAACATCCCATCATGCTTCAGTCACGATCACAACCACGGGCATTCTGTACTCCGGGCGCWGTCAATGGGATCAGGCACTATCGCGTCGCAAAGGTRTACGAACCAGGACATCGTCCTTCACRGGCACTACATAGCAACAGGGGYGACAACTTTGCGGAGAACGAAAACGACAAAAGAAGGACCAACAYTGGTTCGGTAGTTGACTATGTTGGGTTGGCTTGCCAGCCGGTGGTGTGGGTTTCTTTGTATTCAGTAGCTACTACAGGGGGTGGTTTGCCTGCTGGRCCGGGGGGATGCATTGGTGCAGTGGAGGGTCTCTCGTATTTGATTGTGCTGGTYTTAGCGCTGTTGCCAACATCGACAACAACGACTATCAGTGGAACTAAAGAAAAAMCCGGTGACATCAAGGACGCAAGCTTCCTCATCAGTGTAAATACACTTTCGCGCATCACAATAGGTCTGGGACTTGTCATCCTTGCCGGGTTGGCGGCCGACCGGGGCTGTGTCCCAAATGCCAAGCCCATTTTGGATTACTCCGCCTATTTGCCGGTTTGCAGCAACGAGTTCTAGCTAGTATCGTGCCCACACTTTTAGTACTTTTTCGTTTATTCAAATSCAAATTAGGTTTAACAATGATAGCGCAGATAACATTGGTCGAAAGTACAGAAGCCGTTATTGTTCAGAACGAAGATCTATTCTCAAAATCTAAAATCTGACAAAAAATCCATCGGCAGAAAAAAAATCCGATTGATCAATCATTCAAGAGTAATTAGTGACTCGTTTATTTTCCCCCGATGCTCCTGTTTTACTGTACTACCTTACTGATCRTACCATGCCCTAGTACATGATCCTTTGACATCACTCGGCTTCAGCCTCCCATCATCAATCATCCATCACGAACTGCGATTTCGATTTTCCAATCAGAAAGCATCCACCATCCGTCACAAAAACTGGTTACTGCAAACCGAATCAGTCAAAATCAACAATCACACAACGCCAAAGATTCCATCAATCGACAACCTTTACTAACAGGCTATGAAAAGATAAAATCCATAGGCTGCACACGAAAGGACAAGCGACGACGCACTACTATCCATTTCAAATACATACCAGAAGATAGCGTTTTACCATGAAAACACCGATGACGATGGGAATTCTAAACTCGATGGCTGCAATCGCTGTCATTGCTTCCATCTCAAACACGATGGATATATCCATCGAGGCATTCCTGCCTTCCTCCCACTATCCGAGACCGGCAGCACTTGGAAAACTTACTGGCAGTCGCGGAGTCGAAACGCGGATCTGCATGTTTGATTGGGTCAACGACCTGTTCGGAGGCGACGCCAAGAAAAAGGAGGAGGAAGCCGCTGCCGCTGCAAAGGCAAAGGCAAAGGAAGAAGCCGAAGCAAAGAAAAAGGCGGAAGAAGAGGCAAAAGCTGCTGCCGAGCAAGCTGCRAAGGAGAGAGCCGAGGCGGAGGCAATAGCCAAGCAGAAAGCCCAGGAGGATGCCGCCATGTTGGCGAAGGCAAAGGCGGAAGCTGAAGCTAAATTTGCCGAGTTCGAAGCCCAACAGAAAGCAGAGCAGGAAGCTATAGCTTCAATTTCTGCCCGAACAAAGGCGAAAGCCGAAGCAAAGACCGCAGTGGAATCCGAGACTGAAAAGGTGGAAGACGAAACGACTACCAAGGCCGAGGAGGAGACCGAAATAAAGGATGCAGCAGTCGAGACCATGAAAACGGAGAAAAAGGTTGTAGCTAAGATCAAGGAAGAAKCTGAAGCAACTGTAGCCACCGAAGCTCAAGCTGAGAAAGTGAAAGATGCTGCAAATTCTACGGCAGAGGTAGAAGATGTTGCCGCCGCACAGAAAGATACAGAGGAGAAAACGACGAGTGAGACAGCAGAGAATGAAGATGATGGCGAATTAGCTAGATTCAATGCCTATCTGGACGAAGTAATCAAGAAAGGGGATCGCATCAAGGGTGTTGTTCAGTGGTACAATCCGAAGAAAGGGTTCGGTTTCATCAAGCCCTTCCAAACTGCAGACGAAGAATTTGAAATTTCCAAGGCAATTCGCAAAGAACGGGCTGTCAAAGAACACGAGAAGAAAGTGGTGACATACAGTCCAGGTATTTACGTCCATCATAATTCCCTCTACACACCTGACGAAACCTACTTTCGAAAATTGTATCCAAGAGAATCAGTAGAACTGGAGGTTGATTACGATAATGAGGGCCGACCGACGGCCAAGGACGTAACAGGACCTGATAGAACGGACATCCAGGCCATACTGAAAGAGAAGCTTAGACGAGAAGCTTCATAAAAGTACCGAAACTACAAATATGATGGCGCAAAGGGATCCAATTACATGAATAAAATTATAAGAACCCGACGGAAAAGCTAAGCGACAGTTAAAACCGACTTATATACGTAAAGGAGCAATTCGGAAGGAGGATTTTTTTCTATTTGTCATTAAACATTACCTTAATCTACAGTGTTTGTCMCTATTTACGACTTTCAGCGCACAAAACCATGCCAACCTCAGCGTCGTGGCAAGGAAAATACGAGACGTTTGTGATCTCGCCTCAATTTTGGCCTAGAGATTTTTTGAACCGCATCTGTGGGTTCATCACTATTGTTCTTCACTCTCCCGGCCTCTCCTGACACCTCTTCGTCGTTTTGAATTTTTTCTTGAATCAATTCCGCAAAACTTTTCTGGTTCTTTTCCAGGTTATATCGAACACCTCTTCGTGCGCGGTGTCCAATCTCTCGCATCAACACAACTTCTTCCTCCGATCCCGTTGACAGGGCTGCTTCGTAAATCTCCAATTTCATGCGATAGTCTGCCACGGCTGCTACCAATCTTGGCCGAAGACCCTCCACAACCATCCCTGGTGGTATGCGTTCAACCAAGCGAGCTAGATCGGCACCGAATAATGCAGCAGCCTCAAGCAGTTCCCCAAAGAGTGCTCCACTTGATGTCTTCTCAAGACAATGAGAGATGAGACGATCCCAAAGTTTCGAAGAGAATTGCTTTTGTCTTTGAGCATATGATACTGATAATGGAAGTGATTTTGCTCCTTTCAAATATAGATTCAAAATTCCAAGAGCTTCTGTCTCCGTTTGCTCGCTATACATCTCGATTATATACGCCAATTCCAATGCAAAGACAGGCGAGGATGTTTCCTGAGCATTATCATTGTCACCACTCTTATTGAGCGTWTCCTTACTCCGCTCAACTTCTAGTACACGCCTTGCATCCACTGGGAGGATTCCACCGAGAGGCAAGGCAACCTTCAAAAAAGTTAGTAACGGGGTTGTCTTTGACTCAACCTTGTAAGATTCTATTCCACTCAATACCTTGCTTGAATCCCTCGTTTCTCCAGCGAAATCGACGTAAAGCTGGAAATGCTTCCGGTGCAAATCAGTAATGCTTTTGGAAGGAAGAGAGTTGGTAGGGAAGTTGACGTAGAAATCGGGTCTTCTCGTAAATACCAAATGCAAGTACCAAAGAAGTATAGCAGGGCTGTTTTCCAATTGCTCCGCCACTTTATCAATAGGAAGCGATCCGAGCCGAAGAACCCGTGTCGGCTGTTCAAGGGGCTCGTCAGAATAATCTGAATTATTCAGTTCTTTCAAAGTAGTATCATAAGTAAAATCGGCWGCGACATAATGCTCCATCAAGAAAGTTCCCACTCGCCTCAACCCAACAAGACGAATTAGAGCAAACATTGGCATGAACAGCTTCGAGTCTGTTGATAACAAAAAGTTTTTCTCGAAAAGAAATTGATTCAGAACATGGGTTTCGATCAAATTCATCACAAAGTCATATGAACGGTTCCCTATTGACGAAGGCGGTATCTCATAGATCACATCTGTACTGTTGACAATTCTGATCGCAGTGTTTTCAAACGACTCAAGTGAGTCCTTCGCATGGCAAGCTCCAATTGCTAAAAAGCATTTTAGTGCCTGGTCATATTCACCCTGCATCATTCGCAATCTTGCCATGGCCTCCAAACAAGTATGGTTGTTTCGCRACGATGCGTATACCGTCGGGACCTCATTCAATCCTTTTTCGATTAAGTCGCCTGGCAACGCCACAAGTGGTACTCGAGGTGAAATAAATGCTACYGCCATTGAAACATCAAAAAGAGAATCTTCTGTGTCCACGTTGTGAACTTCGTATTTGGGTGCCGAGACTTCTAATTCTTCCTCAACATCCCTTACTGGGAATATCAAATAGCTTGCCGCAGTTTGCAAATAACGGCGTTGAAGTGAGATTTCCGTTACCCGAATATCTTTGTCGACCATTATTCCCTGTCTCTTTCCTCTATTGTATTTATAAAAGGAGATGAAATCCTTTAGGACTTTAGTAGGACCCCATGCTAGCAAACTTTCCAAAAAGTGACGAGAAGCTTCCATGTACAWATCTATTGATGTCGGGATCTCTTCCTTCGATACCTGTGACAAATGTTCTACTTCAACAATCATCCTTTCCAGAATCCTGAGATAAATCTCCGATGGAAGGATCGGATCTAGTGGTAACAAGGTAGAACAAACAGAAATTTAGAAATCAATGATCTGTCATCTTGGCAAAGAAATCTGTCTTTGGAAAACTTACCTCGAACAGGCAGATAATTTCTCAAGAAAAATAGAGCTCCTGGGATGTTTTCTAGCTCTTTCGTCCAGTTCGTCCACAATTCAGTTCTATCTCCCAACAAGACTGGCATTGCTTTCACAGCAAGTTGCATTCTTCGGAGAGACAATGACGAGGACGGCAGTAGCCTTCTTTCCGGTGCTGGTTTGTCTTTGGTGTCGCCTTCCACATCGTCAGCTGCCGAAATTCTCAAAAGAGCTCTCAGGTAGTAATTGATCAATTCGTCGAGATCGTATCGCCGCAATTGTCGCTTATGACTCAAACCACGGGATAATGCTTCAGCACACTTGTATTTATCTAACGAATTTCCTACTGCATCATCAATGGTAGATGTAAGTGATAGAACTGCATCCGAATCTGTGCAAACCACCATTATTGGAGGAGGCCCGGCTTYAGCAGTGTTCATCGTAAACTGTGGAGGCAATGGTTGAATAGTTTCTATTGGTCGTAGTATGCACTCATAGTCGTCACTATCGATACTTGAATCGTCTGATGAAACTTTATGCGCAGTCTCAATATCGTCATCGCCATCGAAARTAATTGATTTCGTATTCCACTGCATATGTGGATCATGAAACTCAATACTCGTGTTCGAAGACGGATTTGAAAGAGCAAAAAGGGGTTGGTTCATATCGAAACTGACATCAATACCAGTGTAACCCATATCATTGGTCCCTCCCAACGCTCTCAAGACTTTGGTTTCTTCGTCATCGTCCATGCGCGGTAGGGCAAATGATGACATAAGACGAAAATTGCGAACGGATATTGCCGGATCAATCTTGTTAGAAGAATTCTGGTGCACGCTTCCTTTAATCAGAGGTAGAGAGTCGCTGTGAGCGATAGTTCCATCCTTGCGCGACAAAATTTGCATTTCTAGATCATGACTAAAATGTGAAACATCAACGTCGTTTGTGAGCGAGACAAGGCCCAAAACCGCAACATTATCCTTGTCCAGTGGGACGACATCGCATGCTACGCAATCGAGCTCCCATGCCATGGTGCACGCCACAGACCGTCGCTTTTTGACCTTAGATGTACCGGATGCACCGTCACTCCCAACGGTCGATGCAGATATTGCCGAAGTTTCATCGTCGTGTTCTTCGATATAGATCTGCATCAAACAATCTCCCCAACCAACCAATAGATGCTGCGCTGTTTCAAACAGCAAACTGGGTTCGACGTCTCGAATCATGGGATATAGGAATGGAGATGCCCCCGCCGGTCGGTCGATGTGAGCGATACGGGTTAGATGGTCCATATCCATAAGTTTGATGCCAGAAGCATCCGCCCATGCTACCAACGGACCCCTCCAAACAATGGTTTCGATTCCGCGATACGAATCGCTCGAGTTTTTGCTACCACGGTCAGCTGCATGTGGTGCCTGATACAGCACAGTATCATTTCGACGCTGAAAGAAATTGCCTCGCTTGGTCAGATACAACTCTCCATTGGCAAAGCCAACCACCATGGACTTTTCTCGTTTCTGTTTGTAGGCTGGATCGATCACCATGCAAGTTGGTGGCCCCCATTTGTGCGGATAATTGACTCGTGACTGGTACTGAATCTCCGCGGTGAGAGTCGGCACGAGTGTGTTTGATTGCGTGTTGTTCGATGTGTTCGGACCTCGGCGTGGACTAGCAGTAGTGCTCCCATGGCTACTGYTATTGAAACCGTGGGTACTCCCTCCTACAAAACTTTCATCAGGAGGTGGAATTCCAGTTATCACCGACATAAAATTGGAAAACATGCTAGGAGCGGCTGCTACGGTTGAAACAGGAGGGCGTGTCGATGTTGGGGTTGTCGTTGGCGTATTGGAATCTGAGMCGSCTTGACTGCTCCCACTGGAATCACCAAAGACTAACGAACTATATTGGAGCGACGTTGTGTACTTGAATTCCCAGATGGCACAGTGCCCTCCCTTATCAATAGCTCCAACAACRGATCCGGAGGAATCGAAAGATACATCCACAATTGACGTACCATGTGCCGCTCTATAAGCACCGCTATCTCGTTCTCGTACGTACAATTCCGTCGARACGTTCGAGTATTTGTTACCACTGCTAGACACGCTTGGAGTGGTAGCCCTTCCACCGACACCAATATCCGTTGAGACTGTCGCAAATACCACCGAAGAAGCAGGACTACTAGTTTTGGTTGAGCTCCGTTGAACGCGGGTGAAAGTGATTTTCCCTTCACTGGTTTGAGACGAGTCGTCATATCCTGTTGCTAGAATCAAATGGGGCTGTCGCCAAAGATCCGACGAGAGCAGCAGCATCTGTTCCTTTCTCCGATTCCTTGCCACTGCGGCCGCCGATGAGGCAGAAGCAGCGGTTGTTACAGAATTGTTGTCGTCGTTGTTCCCAGAAGCCGCTCTGCCCGAATCACCACTCGTTGATGCCCCAGMGATAGTGTTGTTGCTCGACACTACAAGGTCTTCTGGATCTATCCTAATTTCTGCCAATTCCGAACAAGTCGATTTCATTAAATCCGTATCCTTCACAGAAGGGTTTGYAATGCCCCGTGGCAACCCAGCACTAGCGATTCGAGAATAATGAAACAACGGTATATCGTCAACGTACGTKGTTTCCGTCTCATCATCGCTGTTACAATTGCTARCAATGCCATTAAAAGAGTCATCGTTCTCGTYATGATCATGACCACCTTCARTTTTCTCGTCATCGTAGATGGCAGATGATTCATCTAAATTAAGATCGTTGCCGCTTGTGATTTCGTTTTTTGTTGCGTCGCTCGTAACTTCCGTATTTTTTCTGACGTCTCTTTCGGCAAAGGGTTGTTCATTATCTTGTTCGAAAGTTTCTTCTGAAGTTTTGACGTAATYACCAAGTTTATTATTTCCTATATCATCATTGTTATTTGCCACTTTATTTCCTCCGTTGTTTGTTGTCTGATCGAGTGCATCGGTATTGCYAATTTCTTTCTCGGTATTTTCAGATGASTTGTTTTGATCAATAGATACCAAAGGTTCCTTCGAARGAATGGGAAATTCRTCGGTCAAATTAGTATTCGCCTCTTCGTTGGATGYGGAGGAGATTTTTTGGCTAATCGTTGTGTCATTTTCAATTGATAGTCCCTCGTCCTTCTCCTCYTCATTCTGTGTGCTTGTATTATCATCTGTAGTCGAAATGTCATTCGTGGAGGGGGCTGAATCAATATGATCGGTATCTTGAACCATKTCTTCCTTTTCTGTATCTTCAAGCGGGATGTTTTTAGCCTTGCCATTTTGGCCATTTCTAGCAGGKGATTCATTGCCGTTTGYATKCTGAGCTGATGGTTTATTTTCAGTCAAATCCTCTTTCATGTAGGAGTTGGCATCAACATGATTGTTAGCAGCAACTGCTCTTTTTCGTATGTCTTCGCTYGGTKTCTCTTTGTCGGCACTGGTTTCATCGTTTTCAATAGAAACTCCATTGYCGTTCGTCTCCCCAATCCCTGCGCGTGCATCGTCTGTAGTCGCAAKCTCTTCCGTGGAAGGGGCATCATCTACGCGATCGGCAACAGCGGCATTTGGTCCCTTTCCCACATCGTCGCTTGACGATGGAGCAGTGACAGAAGAGGATTTGGAACTCTGGGTTTTCTTCTTCTTTTTTGCTGCCGACGAGGGCTTCCCCTTTCCTTTCTTCTTGCCCATRGTAAGGAGCAGAACGCACGAAAATCAAAACTGCCCAGTGGATTGTCGTACACGCGCTAGTTATCGGATCGGGGAAGAGTTGAATTCGGTTTCTTGTCCAATTGGGTTTCCTTCTTGTTTAATTCAAGGCCTTYCTTTTCTTCTACTTGGTTGGCATTCTTGCCTAGATTTCTTTTTAATACCTTTATTCTTGCCTTCTGGAAGGAAGCGGATGACAGATGACGCCTTCTTGTTGTGGGACAAGCTATGTCGAAGTCTTGCCCTCGGATTGATTCGCGTTGAAGATTGAATGTGAAGAAAAAGTTGTCGCGTGTCTCTCTTTTTGATGTCGTAGCGAAACAACGGTAATTGTTGTATGCTCGTTCAATATTTTTAGAGTTAAGGTTATTATTATCGACAATCGAATGACCCAGTCACGAATATGATTTATTACTTCCTACGAACAAACATACTATTACGTACTTCCGGTACAGTAGTACAGATCAAGGAATAAAGACCTTGCACATCAGTACCGTAGTGCAACTTCGTAGTCACAGCTTTAACAACAATTTCTTCATGACTTGTAGTCCTATCATGTGCATGTATCTGGAAAGCTTAGATAATAGTAATTTGTGTTTCACTGTTGTTAAGTTGCAATACTACTACTAAAAGCATTGCGCTGCAGTACAAGGAGGTATTTATCAGCATGCTGTGCCCTCCTCTATTGTAATCGAGTATTTTAACTCGAGGATATGCTTGTAATAMCTTCAATTCTAAATGCTGAACTAATTCATCCCGAGATGGTAAGGTTTTGTTGGTTTGCTGCTGATAAAAACGGAACCGATTTTTTCACGGGCTGTCCTTTGCCGCAATCAAATCCTCTTCCGCTCATTCTCTYCGCCACTTCAAAACACCATCGTTCACTTGACTAAACCAAAGAATTAGCTCCACTGCAAATCACCAAAGGCACCCTGTTGGCCTTGTGGTTGTCCTTGTGACGAAAAACTCTGGAACTGTTGCTGCTGGGGTTGTCGCATTTGTTGYTGCTGCTGCTGTGGGTGCATTTGCGGTTGCTGTGCGGCATACATGTTAGGATTTCCGTGATAGCCTCCACTGGCGGGCGCCGATTGGATACCAGACGGGGGAGGAGTCGTCATGCCCAAAAAGTCGTTGTGCGCTGTACTTGCGACGGGGGTGTGGTGRTCGTTRAAGTCTAGGAGCGAACCACCGGTGCTAGGGGCAGGAGCAGTCGCCGTCGAYCCGAAAAGATCATCGATSGAACCGCTGGAAGCGACGGAGGGTGCGGGYCGRTGTGCAGGGGTTGGCGCTGGAKCAGGAGCCGGGGGAGCATGTGTTGCTACTGGTGCTGCCTGGTGGTGCCCATGGAAATCATCGTCGTCGTCGTCATCGTCCTCCTCCATGCTGACCCGGGAGACCTTGACTACGATTCCRCCCTTCCAGATCGGGACCGGCTGGCGTTCCTCAACAACATCCATCCAAACGGGTAGGGCGTGCTTCTCGCGGTCGGTCCCGGGTACCAGGGCCGACTTGAAACGAAAGTGGTACTGGCCCGGYAACGGAAAGGCATCCCGGATCTGTCCAAAGGTTGGCGGGCTGTTGGGATGGCGGGATTTGGGGGCCAAGAAGACGTTTGGCTCTGATTCGATGTCGCCATCTTCCGGAACGAAGTAGCTTTTGGTAATGAAATAATGATGTGATTGTTTGCGACGATTGGAGGGAAAGGTATTTGGTGCGACAACCAAAAAGAAACGTGAATGTGGATAGCAAGAGAGTTGGGAGTAGAAAATTATTAGAATTTGTAAAGTTCTTGAAGCAGATTGATGATCCAAACCGRCTRATCCTTTGACCGTKACAATTGCAGGTGRMAGAGATCCATTAGMAGGACTAATGATCCACTCAGTGTACCAACAAGCTTTCTCGGCAATGTGACGATTCAGCAAAAAYACGAGTTTTTGTTGTTTCTTCCAGCTGATTCCTTTTCTCTTTGACAGTAGATTGTTGCACCTATTGAMTCCCATTKGAGYACCGCATTGGTAGTTCGGACTTACCGAATAGTCGTCATTGTCTCCTATTTTGGTGCTYGTCTCTCGTTGAAATGGACAATCCGTCAGATAGCATGAAACGYAATAGTCTTTTTGGAGTTTCGATCTTACGAAGCAATGAAAATGAATGAAAAATGGCTGTTGCAACGGTCACAGACGTTCGTCCATGGTGATGATCCACAAGACTTAACTTGAGCCACGAATGACTATATAAGTCTTTAATCCAAGACTGAAAATACTAGGGACTGAGTTCAACCATGGCGAAAACTTGCGACGGATTTGTTTTTTTCATTTCAATGCTCAAGAACGAATGGATTGGGAATGTACCGTATGGTACACAAATTAGAACACATCGAAACCAAACCAAGGCAACGAAACCAAAGATCAAGACATCCTTGWCCCATACCATCATTGCCCACATTTTCGCCAAAAACACAACCARGAAAAAAGACAAAGATCAAGCCAACTCTACGGCTGACTCGGAAGCTGTTGTGAACAATCAATCATGATCCAATGCAATGCATCGTCCACTGGTCGGAGGACGCTCCTTCTCCTCGCCCAAAAACAACGACAGCATCAATCATCGTTGTCGTCCTCATTGCCATTAAAGTCTCGTGATCCGCTTTGTCGACTATATTCTTCGTCGAARGCATGCCGCAAAAAAGACCTTCCTCCCCCCCTCCCCCCCAAAAMCGGTGGCAGCAGCAGCAAGCAAGCCAAGGGATTCCCGTCCCCGTCCCCGGCTCAGGCCAAAAAGGAATACCTCGAATCCCAAAAGCGAACCGGTGAATTTTTGCAGGATCCCCAGGCCAATATTTTGAGGTTGCAGAAAGAAATGAACGAGACGAAAGCAAAGCTCCTGACGGTTCACGACAAGCCGATTTGGAGACGCGTCGTCGATCGGTTCAAAGCCAAGAGGCACTCGGTCATCAATTTGCTGTGTGCCAGCATGGCCTATATTCTGGCGCACAAGCTGCATCTAAAGATGAAGGCCAATCAGGAATTGCAAGAAGAGATCGACTCGGAACACGCCAAAAACTCYGAGCTCAGAGCCCTGCTTCGGTCCCTGACGACAGAGGAATTTTTGAGAGACGTGCTGGCCGAGGCGACATCTGCGGGTGACGACAACAGCCCGGAAAGCRTTTCAAATGCAAACGAAAATTCTTCATCTTCTTGGTGGTCGTCGACAAGCTCACAGACGACAAAATCTGCATCGCAATCCGTAGACAGCGACGCGTTGGTAGATGCCCTGCGCACTAAATTGCAAGCCCGCATCGGCGACGAAGGCCTGGAAGATGCCGATCGCAAGGAGAAAAACATCCAGGAAATCTGGAAAGAAAACGAGAAACGAATAGAGGAGACGGAAGAAGGATTGGCGGTAGCACTGGCCGCTGTCGCGGCGGAAGGGCAACCCGGGGAGGCATCTGCAACAACGTCCTCTTCGAAAAAACGAGTTTTCGACATGTAGAGTTGGAAATAGCATCAGATTCAAATCTCTCTTTGATTGGTTAGAGAAAAGGAAAAAAGAGCGCACTTGCAAGACTAAAGATTGTAGATAATTATTCTTTTAGTTTCGCCAAAAAATTCCGAATTAAACACACTGAAACAAAACAGCGACACTACGCCATGTACCTTCTGATATTGCCGTGCGCCGCTACTAGTCACGTTAGCTCGTTATCTTCAGAAAGGGATATCATTGCCGCGTCTTCGTCGTTTGGCAGGGAGTCGGCTTSCAGCGAAGGGTCATGCTCCATTAACGGGTGGAACAAGCAAGAATAGTTCCACCATGCATAAAATATCTGAATCACGAGTTCAAAGAGGATCCAACCAAACTTGGCAAATGACCAGTTCATTGCACGGACACCGTCGCCGAAGAAACCACCACCGGGGATACTTCCATTATTCATTTATGCAATGTGTCGTAGAGTTAAGGAWCCAGAAAAAAAAAATCTTTWAGGGATTTTGCATGATGTTGCGCTTTGGTCTTTGTTCCTAGGTACCACAAAAACCAGCAATTGATCACTGTAGTAGAAACTAACCTCAGAGTCACTGCATTGATCAGCCAGACAACCACTCCAAATCCATACAGCATTTTTTTCTCCACACCCTTCGAAGCATTGYTGGGGCCCATGACAAGCTCGCTACAGTTGTACTTGATGAGCGGCAATAGMGCGAACGGCARGAGGAATCCGAGTGCGGCGTTGACGACATTGATCATCTGATTCAAATGTCGCGGAAAGAATACACTGACGATCACRCAGGGCGTWATGGCGACCAATCGGGTGACCACGGCACGGACCTTCACCGGGAGACGGATCTTCAAAAASCCATCCATGATGTATTGCCCGGTGTACGTTGTAGTGATGGCACTCGACTGACCCGCAGCCAATAGTGCGATTCCCCACATGAGACACCCCCCCTTCAGAGACAAAAAATAGTTGCAGAAATCTGTGAGTCCCACCGAATCGGCGTTGTCGGTCCCATAGACTCGCTCTGCGGCAATCGCCACCACGGCGAGGTTGACAAAAAAGGAGACCATGATCGGCAAGATCGGTTCCACGGAGCAATACCAAACAGCCTTTTTAATGACATCGTCTCGCCGAACGACCTTTCGGCTTTGAACCGAGGCCGTATGGAGATATAAGTTGTGAGGCATGACGACGGCTCCTAAGAGGTATTGCCCAATAAAGAGMAAAGCATAAATTCATTTTGGATTAGAAAGCAATCTGTCGTATTGTACGTGTATCCATCCTAATCGCTCCAAGACGAATCGACTGATCGACAAATGGAATCGTCTTACTTACCCAGAATACCAGCTATCGCAAACATATCATCTGCTGTAACTTCTACAAACCCATAAATCCATCCCTTTACAATTTCTGTTCCATCCGGTCCGACGAAAGTCATTTCAACGAACAAGGCGATTGACATTATGCCCACGAAGAAAAACATGATTCCTTCCAATATGTGCATYCCGTACTTCATTGTTGCTAAGAATGACATAGTTGTCATCAGGGACATGATCACGCCAATCCAGTAGGGCCATCCRAAGAACAAGTTGCAGGCAATCCCTATTCCGATCACCTCGGGAAGGTCGGTCAGAATCACCGAGAACTCGGCAATAAACCAAGCAAAGTACCGGCGCCAAGTGGATTGCTGCTGTCTAAATTCTCTAGCCTGCACCTCTGCTAGGGTTTTTTGCGAATAATACCCCAACCGRACGCACAAGACCTGGACGTAGATGGACAAAATGGAGGTCCACCAGATGGAAAACAACAAATAATATTGCGTGGTAGCACCGGCCTGGATGTCGGCCTGGTAATTACCTGGATCGATATATGCAATCGAAACGAGCCAACCTGCAGGAAATCAAAAAGAAAATCAGAAGACAAGAATCGGGAAGTGGTGATCAGCTTGGCAGAACAAAAGAACACCATCGGTCTTGCTCGAGCAAACAGAATACACGGCGYATATCTCACTCACCGGGTCCCACGAAATAAAGCATGTCCCTCCACCACACTCCAGATGGTTCCCACGGCAATGCTTGTTCTTCCGAACTCGGTGATATCGATAACGAGGACATCTCGGAAGAGGATGCCTGTGTCCGATGAATGYCATCGGTGTCGTCGTCTCCACAGAATCCGTTTTCGCCGTTCAAAGGGTTTTGGGCATCGTCGTGCACTATAGAAGACTCGTTGTCGTCATCGCGGCCGTTGTCGGTGAAATCCATCTCTATCTTATCAAAAAGCCACCTACGGTATATTGTCTRGGAGACGTTCTCGCACACCGCATAAATACATTAGTGATGCGTTTGGCAAACTATTCTAGATTTTGTTCTCGCCTTTTGAAACGGCGAAAATAGGTGGACGTTAGGAGCGTCGTATCGTTTGTCACTGTCACGCTTCGCACCCCCCGCCCCRGTACCTTCAACCTACGGTACGCGCACCACGCCACGAAGCGAAGACCCCAACGTACTTTCGGCACGAAATACACGAACCAACAGAAATCCTCGAAAATTTGATATGATTCAGACCGGACATCTCAACCACTCACTTTTGAAACACGGGTTCGAGCCTGATTTGGGTTTTTAAGAGCTAAGTAACTTTCTGTTGATTCACAATAATGAGATGTATCTTGGTTTTTAGGCCGATCTAGGATTAGATTCTGTGCGGAACAATGAAAGGGTTGAAAAATTCTGTAACTCAGATTAGGATGGAAACAGCAAGTAAAACGAGTTCTGTAGTTTTCACATCCTTTCTATATTAGATTTGCTCTTGAAAATACTTTTTTCCGAAAAGTAGGCCATTTCATGTTACACTCGATCACGGAACCGAAGGTCGGTTGTTGGTGAATCAAGTGGCCTCCCTTCAACAAAACAGAGAACGAGGGGTCGTTCTAAACACATACACGGAATAGAAAGCTCTTGGGTTTCCTCAATGCCCTCGWTCCTTGCTGCAATTTTCCACCGTGCGGACGAAAAGCAACGGTGGCAAAGAATTCTCAAACCGCCACAAACACCCGAACAAGATTTTGAGTACCACAACGAATGGGAACGACAACCACGGCGAAAGTCKCGACGAAAACAAGGACGTGACCATCATTGAATTGCTCGGTGTGTTTCGCCGGACSAGAAATGGCATTGTCGCTGGTTATCCTTCATGGTTTCTTCGAGCAGGATATCCCTTGGCTTGGGTTGGCTACACTATAGCTCAATTTTTCGTTTGAAACGTATTACTTCTAGTAGTTTTTATAGTGCTTACAATGCGGACGTARAACTAGTKTACAAAAAGAAAAGCAAATAGCCCCGTGAGKTTTATGCACAAGGCGGTGCTTCACAGGTGGGAGGCGCGTGGAGATAACGCTCGTTCCCGGATTAGAAACGACCCSGCGGTTTGGTTCGACTCCYAGAGGTTCTCGAAGCGGCTTCACAAAAAATAGAATTGCTCGCTCGATCAAAATCCGCATTCCTCCGGAAAAACCAGCCTCCATTTCTGAACCATGTTGTTGTAGAGAGCCGGGTGGTGCGTGTTGAATTCGTTCGGTGCCTCGGCAAAAGCCACAATGACCGTATCGACCGCGGACAGCACCACTTTCATCAGGATAAAGGACATGGARAAGCCGACCAGGAAGCAGAGGATAAAGACCTGGCCGTCCGAGTCCTCTCCCAGCGTCGTCGCCACCCAGCCCGTGGCCTTGGCCAGCAGCATACCGATCACGCCGGAAACGGCACCCACCACGATGGCCACCAGCCTCAGCGAMCGGTAAATYAGRTTGTCCATGATGATGGTCGTCCAACCTCGTGCCTTGAACAATTCAATGGCYTTCTTTCCYGAAGAAATATAGTCAAAGCCATAGAGGCCGATATAACAATAGGCCCATCGGTTGAAGTACTCGGCGATTCTCGAAACCATTCGAAGAATRCATTCGATGATGCACAACAGAATTCCACCCCGGTTGTTTCGGCGTGCATTTCTCGCCAGACTCTCCAGGGATTGGATGACCGCTACCAAAAGGCTTCCCATGCAGATGCTTCCGAAACTGTAGGTCGTTGCCCGCCGGAACGAGTCGAGAATTGCCGGAGAGAACACCGACAGGGCATCCTGCGGAGCAAACCACCACGTTCCCACGACGCCGCTGACCGTTACRTGGAGGACGTTCTGGAAGACCTGGATSGTCCAGTAGAAGGAGAGAATCAAAAAGAAGACGGAAAAGGCGTTGATGTCGGGCTTGCAGACGCCGGCGACGCACGAAGCCTCCTTGAAGCTGACCCCGACCACKGCCAGCACCCACACCACGGTCCACACGCATGCCAGGATCGCAATTCCGTACGCAAGGGCGCAGACCCCGCCGTTGGTTTGGATTGCCGACAGGGCCGTCCGGAGGTTGGAGGCCGCAAAGGGAATCGTGTGCCACACGTTGCSGGCGTACCAGGCCGTAAGGAACAGGCTGAGCATCCAGACAAAGGCCATCCAAACGACGTCATCGACGAAGAAGAAGACGATCGCCATTCCCATAAACACGCACGAGCCGATCAGGCTGCACTGGATGAGTGTCTCGGCGTGGTGCATCATGACCTGGAGGGAAACAGCGGAGATTCCGATGCTGGCGGCGCACGTAAAGAACGCAATCCACAACAGGCCCGAGAAGAACACCGAGCCGCTGTCGCCGCTGCTGCTTGCGTCGTCGCCGCTTGGTTCCGACGAGCGCATGGCCGAAATTCCCCAGGCCATCGAAACAAAGAACACGAACCCCAGGTGCGCCAGAAACGCCAGGGCAAAGGGGGCGTCGCGGTATTCTGGYTGYAGGGGCTGCTGCCCGCCGAACCCGGCCCCKGAACCGACGATGATCTCTCCACCTTCCATGATCGCGGTGGCGGAAAWATCTTCGTTGTGGCTCCCATCGATCCGGAACGAACKGGTGTCGGYGTGGTGCATATCGCCATCGCCGGAAGGTCCCAGAAGCCGCTCCGAGAGCTTATCCTCGATTTCTTGAGTCGTGTTGTCTTGCATGGTGCTTGTGTGTGCTACTACTGGGTTGTCCGTTGGACTTCCAAACAGATTAGGATCAATATATTTTGCCTCCACTTGTTGTTTTTTGTTTTCTGAAATGSTTGTCTCGAACGACGTTTTAGACTTTTCGGTTTGTGTTTGGTTCGACTATGGTACTACTGTATCGTTTATGTATCGTGTTTCTTTCCCTGTGTCGTTGTTGCTGTTGCTGTTGCTGCTATGCTGCTTGCCTTTTTTGTTAGCGTACGAGAACCGTACTTGGGTACTTCTCACTCGTTGTTCCGTAAAATTCGATGATGATGTTCCGTAAAAAACAAAAAATGGTTCGTGAACAAAAAGTTCGATGCGCTCGATCGTACGAGAAACAGGATTGTTTGAATCCCTAATGACTCGTGAATGATAGACCAGTATTTCCCAGTACTGCACAGCACAACATCCTCCAAGAAGTTCTTTAGCTTCGTTGCTTGCTTCCAACGACACCGGGATTCTCATCCATCAAAAATCAGAATCAAATCAAAATCCAATCTCGGGTCGACCAAAAAAATCTCGACACGCGGCTCGCATCATCCGCCACACCACCAACGCCAGAGAACGCTTTCGGGGAACGATTCTGAACTCTTTTCCAACAACAAAACACCCATTCATCCTTCTTGCTCCTCGTTCTTTYTGTATTCACCCGACCCAACATTGCCCGAAACGAAACGAACTTGTTGCCATGGCACCCAAGACGRACACTCCTGTTCCGACCCTCCTCGCCCTGCTCGTTGCCTGCACKGTGGTTKYGCTCGCAGSGGTGCGAACCGCGGACGCCTTTGCGGCCACCGCTCCTGCGCTCCGGACCGCGGTTTCTTCCCGGTCCRCCCTGYCCGCCCGGCCGCGGTCCAAGTGGGACGACCTGGTCRACGAGGACGACGAAAAAGGCAGCGGCTACGAAGGGGGGACCTTCGAGAGCGGKATCCCCGTCCCGCCCGACATGACCTACGTMGAGCGGAACGTCAAGCGGTGCCACGAAAACTTTCTGAACCTGCGGAAGGTCGGCGGCAAGGACCTCTGCCACGACGTCTACGCCAAGTCCCCGCTCAAGAAGGAAGAGGTCTGGTACGTCGGAAAGGTCGCCAAGATCACCGACGTGAGCCTGGAGGACTGCATCGCCCGCCAGTGGAACATCATCGAGACGCACGCGGCGAACCTGCGCCCGATCGAGCTCTACCCGCAGCGGGGGAACCTGGAGATCTGGACGGCCCCCGGGGACACCGAGCTGGACGTGGCGTACAACCGGCCCGAGCTGGTCATGGCCAGGATGGAAAAGTACGAGGTTCTCGCGAAGGACCTGAGAAACAACCTGATCGGCTTCCAGGGCGAGGTCTACCAGGAGGGCGAGGAGGGCTTCCGGACGTGGCGGAAGGAGGACGGCTCCCCGGCGCGCCCGGAGATCAACCCCGGCGGAGAAACCAGACCACCAACGGAGGAAGAGATGGAGCAGCTCAAAGCCGAGGCGCAGCGCCAGAACATCAGCTTCCAGGACGTCTACAAGGAGTCCCAAAAGCGAATGGATTGATTGTGCGTGGGTTTGGATTTGGTGGTCGAACATACCATCAAAAATGCCAGTCACAAAACGCACCGTAAAGCATTCGCTTCGGTGGATCCCGTTTTTTAGCACGAGAGGAGAAACCAGTTACACATAACCTCATCYATTTGACGCYGCAAAGGTTCATTATTTGCAAGCGAATTAMACGCTCACTTTTTTAGTACAATGATTCCCATTATATACTATATTCTTGGGTAAGCGTAGTTAGTACGYATTCGCTTGCATGCGAGCAAAACGAACMGACGATCTATTTCACACTCGGATAAGAACGGCAATTTCTTGTGGTTGTTCCATYATTATATARCTCATTGCCCGGTTAGAAACCTTACGATACAGTGCTTGCTGCTCATGATTCAGAGTTGGTTCGTATGGTTAAAAATGGTATGTCTTGGTATTTTGATGCTTACGGAGTCAAAAATATTTCAAGAGTACTCGTACTCTGCGCATAGGAAGTGCACTCCCTCGTCGCAGTAYTGTAGGACATATTAGCAGCAAATCCAGCATCCGCAGTAGCACGAAAGAAAACAATTCATAAAAGCTATTAAGAAAAGCGTTTTCTGTGCCTCGATTTTGAAATTCAACCTGCAATTRAGCGTAACCAGATTCCCAATACGTGCAGCGGTGGCTGTAATATACATTTTATTTAGTTCATAAAACCATTCCAAGCAAAGCGCCTCTTTCCTGCGATGGCCTGTTGCTATTTTTCAGTGCATATGTAGATATTATCAAAACTCTTCCTCTCCGTAGTCATCTTCGGATTCGGATAATTCAAACAAGAGATTATTGGCAAGCGAAGGATCGTTCATTTGATCGGTGATGCTGTCGGCCAAACTGCTTGCTGATGGTTCGTCTACTGGCGGAGACAGTGTCGTTGTATAACCGTTCATGGCAGCACTCGCCGCAGAAGAGCCCTTTCCTTTCAAAATATCAAGCAACAAGTCCAAGAGCCCTTCCAAAATCGTGTCCCCGACCCGGATGGCCTTCGTCACGACCTTGGMAAATTCCCTCCTCCACAAATCTGGTTTTTGGATGGCTTTTTGCATGGAGGGCGGAAAGTACTTCTTCAAGAATCCCTTTGAAAGATTGGTGGAGATGACCTTTCGATAATTTTCGATCCGGTCTGGATCGTGCAATCCCTGTCGAAGGGACGGACGCTCCCACCACCCTCGAAGTCTGTGATAGGACGCATCTAAAGAAGTCCGAAAGAAGTCGGCAACATCTTTTCGTTTCATTTCGTTTATCACGCTCAACAAAGAACTAGGGATWTCTTGCATCGATTCAAACAATTCCGGTTGTTCCTCTTTTACGTTGGCAATCGCCTCGTCGATGGCTTTCTCGTTGCTCGACAGGAGGAAAAGATAGACGGCCAAGATATCAACACCCTTTGCGTCGTGGTCACCCGGCAAAATCATGACGCGGTCCCCGTGTTTTATTCCCGCTTCGGACAAATCGTCGCCCGGTTTAAGGATTTTTCCCTTCCAGACRATGCCCTTGGCTGGCACGTGATTGCCGATATTCATATTGTTGTTGCTCAATCGTTCAAACTGAGCGGTCAATTCCTTGACGGTGGTAACTCCCTCCCGGATCGTGTGTGTTTGGCCCCGGTACGTTACGTGCAAGTTTCGTATAGGCTTGATGGCCAATGCAAACATTGAAATGTTGTTTTTTCTATTGCTGATACTTTTTTCGTCTCCGAACATCATCGTTTTTGTTCCAGACATTGCAAGGACCGCGAAGATAGCAATCTGCTTTTGCGTTTTGATGAATCCGATTGGGCAGAAGAACATGGAAAAAAGCGGCATCGTGAGCAAATATCAAGGAAAGCAAAAGAATTCGGTTCAACTTCCGAAAGAGACGCACCGTTATCAACCGAGAAAAGTTGGCAACCGAACACGAAGAGGAATGAATGGTTCGACGCCGCCTGCGACTCTGAAATCCAAATATAGTCTGGTACGCCATGGTGTTGATTGTATTGTCCTGTTTTTTCTCCGTAATCGTTATTCGATTCGCCGTAGTTCTTTTTCGAAGTAGGTACTGCAATGAGCAACAACGCGGTGAAGAAGGATGGTTGTACAGTATTCTTGGTGTGCCTTCGCTTGTCTTTCTTCTTTCGTTGACTTCGGAAAGAAAATGATTGATTTTGCACATCGTGATTTGAGAGGTGCGTGAATTAAAGGTGTAGCAAGTCGATGGAGTCATTTCAAACAAGATCAATTGAACACTCATTCACGAGTACTTGTACTGGTACTCGTACCGGWTAAGTACGAGTACGTCAATTGACGTCATTCATCGTCCGTTACTTTTATGCAACGGCTACCGTACGTATTTCCATCGTTGATTTGTTGGCTTGATGTGTTGGTACCGTTACATCACTATTGGGTATCTCTTTTGACCTCCTTTTCCATCAATTTTATCCGATCACCCATCGCCCATCACCCATCAATCCATCAAAATCATACGTACGAGTCGCTTGTAGCCGAGCTACTGCGATCCAGAACTAGCGAAACAAATACGAAGGAACGCAGTGACACATCGATTGATAGTTAAACACAAAGGTTAATTGCTAAATCTTGTTGTGTCCTTAAGGATAGCACATAGCATACAGTCCCTGTCACGAACACGCTTACTTGTGAATTATCCGCTTTGTYTGTTCTTTGGTTTCCGGATGTACTACTCTACTCGACAAAGGCCAACGACATCAATACCATCGCCATTTATACAGAAACGAATAACACAGAAAACAAGGTCGTTTTTGGTCCTGCTCTTCTGTTGTACTTTGCTACTTGCGGGAACGTCATCCACGTGGACTGGAGTGGAAGCCGTGGCAGACTCGACAAAACCTGCATTTGGAATCTCCCGCAGAACGACAGCCCTAGAAAAAAGACGAAGAATGTCGACTCGGTCGGGAGCCCGCTACAGAGGAGGAGATAGTGGTGGATCTGCATCCGATGCAGGTAACAGTGACAGTACACCCAATGCCGAATCAGCACCAATCAGCATCAATGATGCCGGCAATTCAAGTCCATCACCAGCGGCTGAAGCGCAAACTGCCGCGCCAGCTCCCACCAACGATGCCGTTGCACCAGCGAAGAAATCCTTTTCCTTTCGAGAGGCTCGAGAAACCTTGTTTCCGATTTATGGAAAGGACGAGGTTCATAAATTTCTGTTGATTGGTTCCATCAAATTCTTTATCATCATGGCATTGACACTCACAAGAGATACCAAGGATACCCTGGTGGTTACACAATGCGGCGCAGAAGCCATTGCTTTTCTGAAGGTGAGGAATAATTGTTTTTTGATTTCAAGCTTGCAGGTTTCTTCAATTTTGCTACACCRTGTATGTGCTTATCACAGTGCTTCCCTTATAAATTTCAATGTATTATATTCGATACAAATCGCAGATATACGGAGTCCTCCCTGCTGCGACGGCATTTATCGCTCTTTATTCCAAAATGTCCGATGTGTTGAGCAAGAAAACATTGTTTTATAGTACCTGCATTCCCTTCTTCATTTTCTTCGCTCTCTTCGATGCGGTTATTTATCCCAATGCCGATCGTTTGCATCCTTCCTTAGCCTCGGTGGAGTCTTTCCTGGGAATTGCCAATGGAAGTGAAGGTGGGTTAAGCATTTTAGCCAGCATTGTGGCGCACTGGACATCGGCTTTGTTCTATGTTATGGCAGAGATTTACTCTTCTGTATCGGTGGGCCTTTTGTTTTGGCAATTTGCCAACGACGTGGTATCCGTCGATCAGGCAAAGAGATTCTATCCATTGTTTGCACAGATGAGTGGACTCGCACCAGTTCTTGCGGGTCAATACGCAGTGCACTTTGCCAGCCGGGCAGACACGTTTGCCACCTCCCTGCATCGGCTAACGGYGGCAATATCCTTTGCGGGATGCATGATCTGTTTCTTCTACAACGCCAGTACCAAATTCATTGAGAAAAAGGAAGGGGTGAAATTGGTTTCTAGCAGTAGCGATGGTGCCCCAGCACCCACCAAGAAGAAAAAGCCAAAGATGTCGATGGTYGAATCAATCAAGTTTTTGGCATCRTCTCAGTAYTTGAGACTGATTGCATCCCTCGTCCTCGGATACGGACTGAGCATCAACTTTACCGAGGTCATGTGGAAGTCCCTTGTGAAAAAGAAGTATCCAAATCCATTGGATTATCAACGATTCATGGGCAACTTCTCGTCGGCGGTGGGTGCCAGTACGTGCGTCGTCATCTTGTTTGGAGTCCACGTGATCCGCATCCTTGGCTGGAAGGTTGGGGCAATGGCAACCCCCGCTATTATGGCCGTTCTAGCTGCGCCATTCTTTGCCTGTATCCTGATGGGATTGGACAGCCCAGCAAGATTGCACRTGGCSGTTATTTTGGGAACCGTTCAATCCCTTTTGAGCAAAACATCGAAGTAYGCTCTTTTCGATCCAACTACGCAGATGTCGTACATTCCACTGGATCAAGACTCAAAGGTYAAGGGCAAGGCCGCCATCGATGTACTGGGATCTCGTATCGGCAAGAGCGGTGGATCTTTCATCCAACAAATGTAAGTGCTTTTTATTTTTGATTTGTAGGAACKTTTTGTATGGTGAGTCGATGCCATGCTGTTTCGGCTCTCAACATTCTCATTGTTTTGGAATTTAAATCATTATTTGTCCCATTCAAATCTTTGCCGTACAGCCTCGTGCTTTCCTTCGGCAACATCATCAATGCTGCACCCRTCGTGGCTGCCATTTTCTACACCATATTATTTGCCTGGTTGTCCTCGGCGAGCAAACTCAGCACCCTATTCGTGGCACAAACAGAAATGGACAAGGCCGAAAAGGCGAAGAAAGAATAAACCTTTACTATACTACGGTAAACASCTTGGATTTAAGAAAACCACATCCATATGTTTAGTTGTCTGCTTTTTTATTCCGTAGTGTACAGCATACTTGAGAAGCGTAAATACTACTCTCTTCAAGYATTGTTCTTTGTGYCTTTTTCCGTTTCGTTTCAGGGCACGCCGGAAGCATCTCGTTGATTGGCACACGCAATTGCAAACCATTCCAACTGATTGAGCAGGTCATCGAGCTGTTTCAGTTGTCGGTGGGATTCGTCCTTGACGGTGCCATCTCCATGAAAGATGTCGCCCACGGTRGAGAAGCATGCCATCTTCGACACGGGAAGGCAACCTAGCTCGGACAGAAAAGGTCGGAGGGCTGCCGCGGCACGCGATCCCCCATACGGACTAGGTGAATACGTAATGATCCCGCTGGGCTTGAAGGCATACAGCGAACCACCGAAATGGTTGATCATGCCGCTGAGGGCAGAGGGCAGCGTGTGGTTGTATTCGGGTGCCACGACAAGGAAACAGTCCGCTGCTTTGATCGTCTCGGCCATCGAATCCATGGCCGCCGGGGCCTCGCCCGCCTTGAAAAAGAAGTGGGGCGTCTTCACTTCGGCCCCGCTTTTTTCTAGGGCTCCTCCCTCGCCAAAGACCTCGAGAGGATCGAAGACGGTAAGCTCGTGGGTGATTTCTTTTATGTCGCCCAGTGACGAGGATCGTTTGGAAATCTTGCTCTTCGCCCATTTCAAGATACCGTCGCCCAAACGGCTCGGACCACCCCAGGGTGGAGTGATGTCYCGGGCGCTGCCCATGAACAATACGGTTTTCAGCGTTCGAGTAGTTGCAATGGTCATCGTTGTATCTTGTTTTTTTTTTTCCAATCTCTGCTGTAATTGGAAAGATAATTTTGTCTTGCCGACGGTATCGTGAGCAAAAGTTCCCTTTTGCAGAGAGGAGAGAAAAGCAATCGTCAAAATGAATCGAGCTTACAGTGTATCGGCAGACTGAAATCTTTTAGTTGCGAATGTGGAATAGAATTCACGATTCATTGTTCGTACTACAGTAGGTAGGTCGTCGCCGACTTCACCGATCAACAACAGGATCGAGGCTTTTTTTTTTCTTTTTGGTACGAACGCGTACCAGGTACCTCTACCGTACATACTGTACGATACGAGAGATGCACGATACTCAGACAAAAAATTAAAAATACCGGAACGCCAAGCTCCAGCACCGTAACGTAGTTTGTTGCGTATTCCTGTTTTCCTTTGGTTTGGAGTGCTGTGGTGTGCTCGCAATGTTACGGTAGACACGACCTCGAAAGAACCAACGATCAGAGCCTCGATGTCCTAGGTGGCAAGGCGTTCTTCCGTGCTTTTTTGAGAACGCACTTGGTGTGCAATCCTTTYCCTATCGGTATCCATTTCGGGTTGGTGCTTTCTCCAACGATTCCGCCGTTGTTGCTCTCCTCCCGGTATAGATCGCACGATGAATACTGTAGCCTTCCRCCGGCTCGGTCGACCGTGCAGATGCACACCACGGTGGATCCGATCGGYGCCGGGGCGAGGCACGAAACGTGCAGGTCCGACGTCACGCTCGGCACGGGAGTTCTGAGGTGCAAGATCACGGACGTAAAGACATCCGTTGCGGTGGCAAAGGCACCCCCGTGGAGACCGTGGCCGTTGGACAATTCGGGCGTGACRCGGAAGGACACGACCAATCGGTCTCTGTCTCGCCGCCCGTGCGCGGAACCGCCGCCGAGCTCGACGCTCCGAACCACCACAGCGCGGAGCAAGCTCTTTGCGAATCCGTTGGCGCCCATGGTGGCATCCACCCGGAGTTGCTTCTGTAGTTCCGAAGCGGTGGGCAGCGGCTCCTTGTCTTCCGTCGCGTGTTCCGTGGTTTGGGACGGGGCCATGGTTTCGGTCGTGTTTGTAACGGTACTTGCTTGCTTGCTTGCTTGATTGTGATTGTGTGAGATTTTGTGCGAGATTTTATGTCACGTTGAGCGAGAGGCATCGTAGGGAAAATTCCTGGGGGTTACGACCAGTATGGTACTCGTAGTACGTACTCTTATCCCCACGAGAAGTACTCGTGGATGAACGACTAGTACCGTAGCACGTACTGTACCTGCTGTACCGTACGAAACGTAAGTATCTCCAATCTCCACTACTGACTTGGTAAATTGACTCGTTCGACTCAAACGAGACAATTTTTCGGATAGAATTGCGAGCACCGCCGTCCAAAAAACAGCGAAGAGACAGCAGCAGCAGCATCTTAACGACAGCAAGGTGTTGGCACGACTTCTTGCGGATGGAACATTGACGACAAAGGAACGAAAGAAAATTAGCAGAACAACTCAAACTCATACCTAGTGTTTGACAGAAAACGGATTGATCTTCAATTGGACCCATTCAACTTCACTTCAATAACCATGGCCCGAACAAAACAAGTAAGAAAAATAAAAGAGAGGCTTAATTTATGAGTAAATTCTACACRGAGCAACACCAGGACACGGGTTTGATTCATTCTATTCGTTTCGAAGACAGTGTTGATCTAACGAAAGTAAATATTTTTCKCTTTATTATTGCATCGCACCAGACCGCCCGAAAGTCTACCGGAGGAAAGGCTCCCCGCAAACAGCTCGCTACCAAGGCCGCCCGCAAGTCGGCCCCCGCCACCGGAGGCGTCAAAAAGCCCCATCGATACCGGCCCGGAACCGTTGCCCTCCGCGAGATCCGTCGTTACCAAAAGAGCACTGATCTCTTGATCCGAAAGCTTCCTTTTCAGCGTTTGGTTCGTGAGATTGCCCAGGATTTCAAGAGTGATCTGCGCTTTCAGGGATCGGCCGTCCTCGCCCTCCAGGAATCCGCCGAGGCCTACCTGGTGGGTTTGTTCGAAGATACCAACCTTTGCGCCATCCACGCCAAGCGTGTGACGATTATGCCCAAGGATATTCAGTTGGCTCGTCGTATCCGTGGTGAGCGTGCTTAAAACGAAGACTACGCAACGATAAATTGGAAGGAAAAGGGATGAATGATTCTTTTCTATTGCAAAAGCAACAAAGAATTWATCGTCGCATGCATATTCTGTTATTCATTGTTCGGTACCGTTTCCCATCCAATCCTATGCAGGGATCATATAGTATTTTTGATGAGTGAAACACTGATATAACTTCCAACGGAGCGGTGGGTAGAAAGCAAGCCACTTCCGCACGGAGTTTCCAATGATTTATAAGACTTGTCATTATAATGAGGTGGAAAAGAAACGAATTGTGTTGCCATCGCAGTGGCAAAGTATGGCGAAGGAGTACATGTGACAGCGGCTTGTATAAACAAAGGGGGAATTGACTGGAAGAGCACGTTGTATCTATTTCACAGAGTTAATGATTATAGTTTTTTACTACGAACAGTTACCGTGACTAGTGCTCTGTCTTCATAGCAGGCCTCTAGTATCAGACAGCAGTTAGTAGGTATTTTGCTTGAGTATAAATGAATGCTTGTGGATTGTCTTTTTGGTGCTTTCTTTTCAAAGCAATTTGCATCCTTTAACAGGAGTGCTGTTTTATGTGCCATTAGTATGGAGGAAGACTGTTAGGGGTGTGGCATTTGATTCAGTTCCTGCAGTGCTGAATTCACTGTATACCAAGAAWACATTTGTACAGTTGGTAGTAGGTTTTTACATTAGTTCTGCTTGTGTAGGCGTTACTTGCTCATGACAGGGAAACCAGCCAGCCAGCCATCCAGCCCATCTGACTTTTCTGAGGAGGGGCACCATTATGAGTACTATTATGGTGATAAATGGTACTATGGGTGATATGTGAAATTTGCACTAACAGTATCAGTAGTACTTTCTTATTGAGACAAGGATAGTGGGAGCACTTTGTACAGTAGTTAGGATTGGTGAGCACATATCATGTTTAATTGTTCATTGTCAGTTGGAGACTACCTTATCTCTAAATACATCAGTTGATGGACTTGCTTGCCTTTTTTAATCACATGAAATTAACATGATTTTTGTTCCAGCTATTACTCTGGCAGGAACTCTTGCTCTTGCAGCACATTTTAAGCTACTACTAGAAAACAAGGTCCAAAAAAATGAGAAATTGACCACTGAATATTTATATATGTAAAACTTTAGCAGCTTCTTCTGGTGACCAGTTTGACTAGTAGGAATATGACATGAAAATAAGATAGGATATCAAGAAGCATTGAATGCACAATAGTACATTTGCACCATGCAACATCCCTGGTGTCTTCAACACTGCAAACATTTAATTCTAAATATTTGATCTATCAGCCCTCCAGCATCAATCATGATGACCAAGCTTAGAGATAAGAATCCCCTTACTATGCTAACATTGAGTTTTCTTGTTCTTGTTACAAGTCAATGAGTGTAACAAATAGATGTTTTTGTGCCGAGATAACAAAACTTTTAAAACAATCTGTTTTTGTGTTCTGGTCTAGTAGGTCTGGACCAATCTGAGTGCAGCCCTGTTCCATCACTTTTTGTTTCATGATACTACTAGTATTATTGATCAAGCAGCTTGCTATTAACATGGCTACTATGATCTACCATATATACTCTCCCTATGTCAACTTCTGGTCTGGTTTGYTGGTAGAAGAAGTACAACAATCCTGCATAATTTTTTATCTTCATTGTCAGTTTCACTTTTTCTTATTAACATTCACCATCTCTTTTCAGTCAGCTTTGATTATGATCATAATGTCTATCCCACTTGACTGCGTTTGTATTTTATTTATCCTGTAGAGCCAGAAACCAGTACAAGTTCCTCCCACAATGTAGAATAACTCACAAAACCATTTAAACCCTGCGAGACAGGTTAAAATTCAGCAAAGAAACTGATTCAAGGATGGGAAGGAGTTATATCGCATTGTTCTTGGCATTAGTAATGACTGGCTCCAGCAGTAGATATCAAATGCATACCTCTGAAATGTTTTTAATCTCAAGTACAAGTACTGTTTATAGTAGCACTGTGAATAGTGTAATTGTATTAGCAATCATATTTTGTTTGGCTCTCAGGGAGACTGCCCAATCAATATTGTGATCATCATTTCATATCATATTGTCACTACAGAACTTAAGAGAACAAGTAGTCGTTACTAACATCATACCACTACTCATCTGTGAAAACTGACAATGATTCTGGATTGAGAAGAATTGCTCCTGTTGCATTTGGATTTGACAAGTGGATGATGTATTGCGTACTGTGCGTTGAGGAACACATCGCCCCTCCAAGTAATCTGAACGCTGTACGGAACATGAAATAGTTTTTGAAAGGAGAAGAATCTAATCAACCGGATTGAGAAAAATGAAAGTCAAGTGCATCCCTACGGTATATTCCGATGTACAATGGCTGTCCAAGCACTTTCCTATAGTTTTCATATTGCTTCAAAAAGAGATATGTCTCCCGACCATCAGTTGATATGGCGAAAGGTGTCAGCAGGCCTCCAACSAGCATAAAAATAGAACTCGTTCTTTCCAGATATTTAATGCCTTCTTGGAAATGCATTCCGCAGAAGCACTACTTCATGAGACGATTTTCGCACAGGACATTTGACTTCTGCCAGTCGAACCCAAACAGACATCAAACGCACTCAATCACTTTCGTACTTTGTTGATGCAGTAGGCCACACCACACTTGTTAATCGAATCGCGGTATCGAAAGCTTCGGTTCGGTTCGGTTCTATTCCGTTTAGATTCCTACTTTTTTTGTCCTCAATTTAGAAAGTACCATGATTCGCTTTCTTTCGTTTGATTTTACGCCMTAGTTTGGCCGTATKCACTAGTTCTTGTCCTCGTCTATTTTCTTTTGGGGGACATCTCTTGCAGCGATTCCTCCAGCATGGTCCTGGTAAGGATCACACGTCGGCAGCACGGGCATAGGGTCGACCCCGTACTCAACCAATTGACGATGCAGTCCAGGTGAAAGAGATGCTGTTCACAATACTTGGAATAGCAGACGTCATCTCCCACCTGGATGTCCTGGATGCAGATCGGACAGCACAGATCGGCGGAACCCATTGTGTCGCTTCTGCTTCTATTCTTGTCGTGTAGAGATAGATCGGGTGTATCGCTGGTGGCAACGCTTCTATTGCTCTCGGGAACACCAGAAGATGCTTCCGTTTTCCGGTTGTTTCCCCCATCGGAATTGTGGTTGGCCTGTTTCCAAATCTGAATGTCGCTCTTGGTCGCTTTCCTGCACTCTAATATTGAGGAAAAAAGGCTCCGCTTCTCTGTCAGTGTCAGCCCCTCCAGCAACTCCTTTGTGCTATCGTTGCATTCCGCCAGTTCTATGTCGACACCGTCAGCGTTGTCGTTGTCATTGCTGCTATTGTTGTCTCTGTCGTCATTTTGGTTCCCATTGTATCTGYTTGCACGGTTTCTCCGACACTTGCACAAAATCACGTAATCGATGAAGAGGATACAACCGTAGCGAACTAGGACCATGACAACTACAAAGAGCAAGAGGACAAGAAAGAGTTCCACGCCGGGGCGATCGTTTTCTTCTTCCTCGGATTGGCCATAGGTGTAGGCAGTTTCAAAATCATCGTCGTTGTTCTTATCTTGCCGTATCCTGTCTATGAAGCTGCCAAAGGGGATTCGGGACGTGTCCAACGACATACTCGTTCTAATCTTGCGTGGAAGCTTTATCTTTCGCCTCGTCCYTATTGTTGCATCGAACGCTTAAATGGTCGAGCCAATCGGACGGTCTGACTGCGCAATTATAGCAATAGAATCTATTTAGGCACCCAATGCAGTCAGAGCAAGACGATCATTTTCGATTGCTTTGCAAGGATYATTGCAGCGGAGATATCTCGGTGATCTTGGAATTCGTAGTCGACTTCGGTAGACGAAACCCTCCTTCTCTCGTTTTCTGGGAAACTAAGCCCAGTAACACCTTGTCTCGGCACTGCTCGTASTCTAGTACCGTGTGATGATGCGACGACGATGACGCAATCGGGAGGCGCGACGAGCACTCTGTTACAGAAATCTACGATTTACGATTTCGCAAGCCCTTGCCGACTGCGACTGGAAAGAAGAGTAAAGAACAAGAAGTATTTTTTTCGCKACGTTGCGTCCAACATTGTAGTACGTCTACGTACGTAAGTACAATGTGTKAGCCTAAATCACGAGTAGATAGTGAATAAGCTCACTCTTTATTGTAAACACGTAATCATGCAACAMTAGAGAGCCTACCAATATTCGCGTCTTCATTATTCACATTCATGACTCAGATTTTAATTACAGTCGGGGATCGAATAGATTTACGGGTTTGAGAATTGAGAATGGCTTCAMMMWCTSTRYASWRT